TGAAAAATAGAATATAATAGCATGGAATTGAATTGAATAGAATAGACTGGAATAGCATGGAATGGAATAGAATAGCAAGAATAGAATACTGTAGAATAGAATAGAATTTAATTGAATGGAACAGACTGGATTGGCATGGAATATAATATAATACAATAGAATAGAATGGAATTGAATATATTGGAATAGCGTGGAATGGAATGGAATAGAATAGAATAGAATAGAATAGAATAGAATAGAATAGAATAGAATAGAATAGAATAGAATAGAATTTAATTGAATGGAACAGAAAATAATAAAAATGCAATAGAATAGAATTGCATGGAATGGAATAAAATGGAATGGAATGGAACTGAATACAATGGAATGGAAAAGAATTGAATAGAATAGAAAGGAATACAATTAAATAGAGTGGAATGGGAATTGAACGGAATTAAGTGAATTGAACAGATTTAAATGAATTGCTGAGATGTAGACAACTCATTGGGTTTGTTTGATGCATGTACTGTTATAACCTGTGCATGTCTGCATACTTTATAACTACTGGAAAGGATCTACAGTAATACTTGTTAGTACACTTAATCTTAGATATGTTTGAACATTGTAAATATCAAATGAGTGCCAAAAAACCTTTGGTTTCCTTTTGTTGTATCTTTTTTTTTCCCATTTCACTGAAGCTGGTCCTCACACACACACACTGTATGGAAAAAAGGTCCAGTAAAGACCGTACCTCCAGTACAGTGGACCAAAACATGAACCAGAACTTTCCCACTGGCTTGTTCTCATTTTTAAAGCTGCCCTTATTAAGTCTGTTTGGTGCTCTTTTATCACATTGTGATTTTGCTCCCCCATAAAAACAGGACAGTCCCAAACTTCACTTAACAATTGAGTACATACATATTTCTACATATGCAGTTATCTTTAGCTTTATAACGTCTCAATGTCTGTACTGTGTGAGTGTGTCAAATCAAAGTCAAAATCATTGTTAATCCACCCAATCTAAAGCTCATTTGATCCTGTCAGTTGCGCTTTTTAACCTACTGTAACACAAGGGTGTTTCTAGAAATGAAAAGAATTGAAGGGGCAAAATATCTGAATGAACATATGGCCCAGATCCAGGTGTGAATATATATTTTGATATTTTATCTAAGCATTTGCTCTAGTATGTGTTTCAAACACATCACCTATACACATGGACCAATACCACAAAACAAATGCTGATGGAAAATATATCTGAATCTTCAAGTCAAGATTCTTCTGAAAAAAATAAAATAAAATCCAGCAACATGTTAGATACAACATTGAGTTTAGAGACATAACCGACTTCACAAAACAGGAGTTTTGTGGTGAGCCCTCTCCCGAATAACAGTTTGACTCATTTTGAGGGATCTCAAGGTGTTCCCAGACCAGAGGGTATACCTATCTCCTTTGTAGCTATGGGGGCCCTTTCCTCAGGGATATGATAAAAATGCAGGATTGGTGAGGAAGCCCTCTGGACCACCTCAGCTGAATTTTTTTAGATGTGAAGAAGCAAAATCCAGATAACTGAAAATCAGCACGTATTTCTTAGGCTGAGTCCAGTCAATCTAAATGTCTCATGACCGTTATTTTAAACTTTAAAACAGGTCGCTAGGCACATTTCACTGTGTTTTTTTTTACTTAGATCGTGAATTTATTTGAACACAGATAATAGATCTTGGGTCACTTACCTGGTATTCCTATGCAAGCAATTGTTAAAATGACCTAGCTTCATATGTTTATTTTAGGGTCAGCTAAGTCTGGCATTTCTTTAGCTAAATGAATATTCATAGTTAAAGTTTTTTCTTCAAATGGGACAATACTTACCCCTTTCCCGATTTTACAACTTTTGAAGTGTATGCATTTTTCTTTTTGTGTTGTTTGCAACAGAATCCACTTTTGCCATCGTTTTTTTTTACTTATTTGCATGACCTTTAAACGTTAAACTGAAAATCAGAAGAAAAAGTAACAAATTTCTTATTACAAATTTTTCTCATTATTTTAATTTGAAGCTTCTTAACCTGTTGGACATTATGTGAAAATGGGTCTTCTTGTTTATTAAGCAGTCAACTCGTTAACTTTTAGCTCTTGATGCTGCTGCTTCAGGTATTAAATTGAAAGTGTTGCTTCAGCATTATCATTGTGGAACAAATATCCTTTGCATAACAAAACAAACATCCAAGTGAATGGAAAGAAAAGGCTTTCCAATAAATCCAGACAATGGGGCTTGCTCAAAAAGAAAGTTACATAACACTCTATTTGCCAACAAAAGAACAAACTCGTACCAGTTTTTTTCTGCCGTTGTCACTGTTATCAAGTTCTTTGTTAAACTTTTTAACACTATCAATGTCATAAACTTAAAACGTTATTGCCTTTTATAATTCATCTTTTTACACATTTAGAACCTTTTTTTTTAATTTAGTAATGTTTTATCTATACATTATGTTTTATATTAAATTAGTACACAAATACTTTGAAATGAATAGCAATGTGATGTATAACAAAATCCTTTGGTCAGAGAATGAAATATTTAACAAAATCTTTACTTCACCCACAGTCTATGTGTGTGTGTTTAAAAAACAACAACAATACAAACAAAATATTTCTTTAAATGCACATTTTTTTCATGTTTATTAGAGCATCTAATGTTTGGAAATTTTGATTATCTCTGTAAATATACCCTCGATCAGTCAAGCACACCAGTTTTATATGCTTTCTGGTAGCTTTTAATTCCTAGCTGAGCTTTAAACATTAGTTTTGAGGTTTGAAATTCTACCATATAAAATATGACGATTACATTGTTTTTGTATTTTATTTCTTTTAAAATCAAAGCCAAAAATTGGCCTAAATTCGAGGCAATTGGACTTCCGCTTTGTTCTTCTGAAAGAGTTTCGACACCTATCCTACTCTCATGTCCTGCCCATTCCCATTACCGCTCTCATCTGTTTTCTCCTCTTTCCTTTAGCTCTCCTCGAGTATAAACCTCATGTTATCATGGCGGCACCTTGTGGCAGCGGCCAGAAACAGCACTCTACAATTCAACAAAATATGCCACTCAGAACGCTACAAACCATGCATCGACCTCGCATCTGCGACTGCCAACGCCTACTGCAGCTACGGTCACAAAATGCTTTAAATGCAGCCACTCGCGACCATTTAAAAATCTGTGAAGTGCTAATGATGGAGGTAAACAAACCAACGGGCGAGCTGAGCAGGCCAAGCCCAAGGACGCAGTGTGCTAGGCAGCGTATGTGGGGCTGCAGAGCCGGGCTAACGGCGAAGCTAAGAAAGAATCGCCACAGACCACCGCTACCATCAATCCCGCTCTCCAACATCCGCTCACTGGATAACAAAATTGATAATTTCCGACTCAAACCATGCGATCAGATCACCGTAGCAGAACCATAGCCACAAAATCAAGGATCTTTTCCACGACGCTAGAAACACCAGGAGGATGTGGCAACACATACAGCCGTTCATCACAGACTCCAACACACCTTCCCGCCTGGTAGATTCAGCAAACACTGACTTCCTAAATGAACTAAACAACTTCTTTGGAAGGCTTGAGACTCTAAACTGCACTCCAGTGAAAGCTGTTCCACATCAGGGGGAGGAGGTACTAAACCTTGATGTAGCTGAAATGAGGAAAACTCTGAGAAGAGTCAACCCAAGAAAGGCCCCATGCCCCCATAGCATTCCTGGGCGGGTGTACAACGAGTGTGAAGATCAGCTGGCTGGTTTCCTCACAGACATTTTCACACCTTGCTGGACCGATCCATAGTGCCAGCATGCTTTAAGTCTGCCAAAGGTGACCTTCTACAGAAGCACCATAGAGAGCACTCGTACCAGATGTCTCACTGTATGGTGTGGGGGCTGCAGTGGTGCAGATTGGAAAAAGGTGAGGAGAGTAGTGAGAAGTGCAGAAAAGATCATCAGGGTTCCTCTTCTCTCCATAAAAGACATTTCATCCCAGCGCATCCCAGCATTTTAAATGACCCCTCACTCCCACATAATGACTGTTTTCTCTACTGCCCTCTGGGAAAAGGCTTCGAAGCATCCGACGCAGGTCCAGTGGATTCTGAAACAGCTTCTTCCCCACTGCCAGCAGACTGCTGAATGTTGAAAAAACTGAAAAAGACTACAAAAAAAGCTGAATGCTGAAAAAAACTGTAAATCATATCAGTGTTATGTTTAAATTTGCTCCCTGCTGTCTTGAGAGCTGTATAAAACAAAATTTCGTTTTGTGTACAATCAGTGTATACAAAATGACAATAACATTTGTCTAAGTCTCCAATCCACAGGTCTATGTTAGTTCTGAAGGATAATTTCAGAGCCACCTGTAGCCGGAGTGCGGAGGTTGTTAAGATGTGAAGCTCATTCAAAGTCAACTAGAAATCAATGACCCATCCTTAATTCTCCTACTTCAATGGAGTTTGGACTCCAGCAACCAAAGACAATGATGGGAAAGGCATCAAAAACTTTTCAGAAAAACTGAGTGAAAGTTCAGCTGCCTCAGATTCAAGCCTTTTTTTTTTTTTACATCTGCCTGTTAACAACCTGGCATTACGTTCCAAATTTTATAAAAAATACCTGTTTGAGCCTGCACAGTAAAACACCAACAGTGCACCTACTTGGCGACTGGGATATTGAATCAGGATGACTATCGAGATTAGAAGAATCCTGTTTTAAAATCAGTTGCCCCCTCCCTCATTTAAGGTGGGAATGAGTTAATGCAGTAGGAATACAGTTTCTGAGTGTTAGAAGGAGGCAGGGGGGTGGGGTGAAAATGGGTGTAACCATTCTGTCGTGCAGCCAGGGGTGCTTAAAGGGAGTAATGATTAAACAAACAACATGACCATGGACATGACACAGGCTGAGGGTCTATACTGACCTCAGTCTAAACCTTTTGCATGCCTCTGTTTTAATTCCACTTATTTTTTTTCAGAAATGTGTCCTTTAGTATAGGCTTTTGTTACACATTCGCTTCCCTGCCTCCAAAGAGACCACCCTCTGCTCAGTCCAAGCCCCTTCCTCCTCCTGCTCCTCTCCCTCCACCAGGGACCAAGTAGGCTTTCAGCACTTGCCACAGCAGCTCACAATGGACAGCACCACAAAGACTCAGTGATTCCTTTGCATCACCCAGACACTTGACAGAAACCAGCGCTGACAGCCAATCTCAGCATTCACAACAGACATTGAGGCAGCGGGAAATTGATACAAGAGAAGGAAAGAGGAAGCTCTCTGTGGATTATTTCTAATATAATTAAGATTTTCAGCCTTCTGCCTAAGCAGGCTTTTTCTGAAGCATATAGTCAATTTATCTAAAACAGAATAAGCACCATGGAAGAAGATCTGGATGAGGGGCAAACCCAAAAAGGTATGCACCATTTCCATGTTTGACTTGAAGGTTTTAAAGACATGCAATGGTCGTTTGGTCAGTAAGTAAGCTTTGTTACTCCTCAAACGTTAGAGACGAGCAGCTGATTAAGGGAAACGCTTTGTTTAGCATCATTTCTCCTTAAAAGACCACATCTATAGAAGCTATTTGGGTAGTTAGGGGGGTGTGATCTGCTCCAGCTGTAGCTGAACTGCCTTTGTGTGCTCCATGCAGATTTCATGCTTGTCGTGACGGCTCAGAGAGAAACATGCAAAGATGAGAACCAAGCCGAGCTTCTGCTGCTATGATCTATATGCTGCCAGGTTCTGTTCTTTGTGTGCAAATAATGGGTCTTGCAGCAACGCTTTGCAAAACCCAGGTTGTTTTAATAGAGGAGCTGGACAAGAGGAGCAATCTTCGCTTTGTTTGAAAAAGGGAATTGCTATTTATACACCTCATCCCCCCACTACCACCACCCCATGCATGAATGATTTAACATACTGTCAGGACACTTTAAGGCAGAGGAGGCAGAAGAAGATTTATTTGTTACTAAAGTGGAACATGTTTCAATTCTATCAGCATTATACAGATAATCTTTAGATGTGAAATGGGAAACAGTCAGCAGTAAGTTCCTGTCTTGTCAAAAACATCTTTGTGATATTTGTATTGCCCTTCTTCTTCTGAAATGTACTTCATGTGACAAGCATGGCTTCATATGTTTACGCCCCCCCCCCCACACACACACACACACACACACATCCCAGCACTCATATACACACGAGCTGCAGCTGCTGCCATGTATGTGTATCATCTGCTTTCCACTCCAGCTGATTACAGTTTGGCAGAAATAATTCACTGTTTCAGAGAAAGAGAGAGGGGGAAATGCTAAGCAGCAAAGTCTAAGCAGCAAATAGAAGGAAAAATGGTTTGTGGGTGGGAAATGGGGACATTAAACATTGAACCTGGACATTAAACGGATATAAAGACAGGACTGAGGAGTTATTGGACACAGTAATGCCAAAAACATTACGATTTGTTATGATTCTTGAGTGGTTTTATGCAGGGTGTCAGGACTAGCCATGGAAGGTGCTGTATTCGCTACCAAAACACAAATGTGACAAAGTTCTGCTTTTTCAACCTTAACTAAGTGTGAATTCATGTTTACTGCTTGTAAATCTATAATGAATATAATTATATTAATAATGATTCTAATATTAGTACTGCTACTACTAAGGATAATAACAACTATTTGTTATTATTTTTGCAAAAATTAGATTTTTTTTTTAAATCAATAGGTATTTGTTTACTAAATCTAAGTATCATAAAACAAATAAAAAAAACACTGTCATAGATCTGTTCTTCCCAGAATGGCATGCCTTTTGGTATCTATTTATTCAGTCAACAAAACCTTTTATTTATTGGGATTAAAAATATATATTTTGACTAGGATCTGTTCTTAAAGCAGGTAAAATAAGATACAGTAAGATACAATATAATCAAGTATCCTGTTGGATTACAGGATGATATGCCTTATGGTATCACTAATCCAAGAATTAAACAAATGGTTTATCCTAGTGAGGTTACTTTTTTAGTAATTATTTAAAAGGCTTTGTTGTGTGTTTGTGTGTCTGTTTTTTAAACATTTTTTCATTTAGTAAGTTGAGGCTCTTAGCGTTGACTTAGAATGCATAGGTATTTACAAGACAAAGTTTTTAACATCCTGTTTTCATGTTAGCTAGAATAGAGTTAATCTCTTAGGTGCACCTTATATAAATAAGTGACAACAAAGATCCCTGGCAATTGAGAATGAGAAAATTTGGATTGACTTCACTGAAAAGGCGACATGAAGACTGAAGCCATCGTTTCCCATTTTCTTCCTTGTCACTTTGATTTCACGCCCATCTTCCTGTAAAATCCTGTAATCCACTATAAGGATCGTTGCTCACATTTGATCAAAACCCACATTTGAACATTTGCTGCTGGAACAATCAAATCACTTTCTCTACTACAAGAGAAACTCTTTTATGTTAAAACACCTTTTAAATTGCTTGCTGCCTACATTTCTGATGAGTTGCAGGTGTCACTGAGTGCACTCGCTGCATGCTAATACCCTTCTGTCTTTCTCTTCTGAGGGTGCAAGTTTCTGATTATGACTCAGATGCACCATGTGGGCTCTGCTCACTTCAGCTGCTGGCCAAATGTAGCGGGGTTATCCACACAAAATTGTCGCCAGCCAAAACAGGAATAAAACCAAAACACCCATCCTATGGCTAAAACAAAAAGTTTACACAGGATCCACTAAAAAGGAGAACATGAGGAGTAAAAGTTGATGAATCGGTGACAATCTTAAGGATATTTCACACTTGGTGTGCTGATTGGTGGTCAATGGAAAAAAACAGAGAAAAGAACACCTGTTAGATCCGCCTGCGCCAATAATCTGCTCCACAAGGCACAGCTTGTCCTTCTGCTTGATAGGTTTGAAGAGGCTTCTCACTTGGCAAGCAGATATAAGGACCTCATTGATATTTTTATCAGGCCAAAATAGCAACTCTAGAGGCATCATCACAAAATTTAACAAACATAGCACTTAATTAAGTTCTGGACTTTTACTGTATTGTTTGCCAGCCCAGCAAATATTTCATTTATAATCTGATGTTTGCATCAAGCCCAAAATCCTCCAGCTTCGCAAGAGACTGTTTTCAACAAAAATAAATCAGTAGAGTATAAAGGTGGTTAAACCTTGTGATGCTTTCATGAAAAATCTATCATAACTAAAAGGTATTATTGTTTAGAAATATAAGTCATTTCAACTGAAACAGATTTAAAACCACTTTAAGATAAAGTAGCAATGATCAGGTCTACATTTTTCATTTTCCGATTAAATATAAACAAAAATAAAATAGACATTATTCCTTATTCTTTCTTAAAGGATAAACTATTTTATTGTCCCAAATTCTTTATATTCAGACAACCCTTATATTCACTTTATGAGTGTTTGACACAACTTGACTTTTTCCCCTTGACTGAATGCTGTTCTTAGAACTGTTCTGTACTCATTAAATGAATGCCAAAATAAAACATTTCTTCTACAAGTCTGGTTAACATAAACTGAGGCAGAGACTGAATAAAGAGGCAGTTCTTTCAGAAATAAAAACCTCAGCACAACACCATGACAACTGTATACCGTTTCTATTTATGCATATTCATAACTGTATGACATCAGCATGTTCTTGCTTGATGCTTGCTTTTAATTTCTTCCTTTTATTGGTGTATTGGGGTCCTTCGCTCAATCATGCTTTTCTTTTAAAACATGAAAAAATATCTGGGGGCATACGTTCTGCTTCTGCGTGTAGCCAGTCGACTTATAGGCCTACTCTTTGAAGTTGCCACCTTGCATGGTTTCAAATTGTAATTCTTACAGTAGAACTTACAAATTCAAGTCTGTTGAAGTTTTGTCAAAGTTTGTGGGATGGTTTTCTTACTCCAGTATAGTTTTGAGCAAAAAGAAAGAAAAAAAAAATGGAACAAAAACTATGACAAAAATATTTTTTTATTCCAGGAGATATCCATATACTGTATAACTCAATATAACAGAAATGATGTTGGTCAATATTCAAGGTTACAACTGTTTTATCTAAAATGTCATTTTACAAGTTGAACATGACATCAAATATAGGATTTTTTCTTTTTATTAAAAAACAGTTAATTTTGACACTGCAGCTCTTTCTCGAGTCTCTTTCTCTTTCTGTACACTCTCTACATTTTTTTTTATAAATCTGTGGAAGTTTCTCCATCCAGCTTAAACTCAGCCTCCTCGTTTCTAAGCATGCTTATAGGAAAAGTCTCTTTAACATCATAATAAGCTCCTGCATTTGTAATTCACTTCTGTTGCTTCTAACAACTTAACTTGCAGGGCTCTCTTTCAGCTTCAGGAACTGTCCAGTATAGTGGGGCAAGTATTTTGTTTGCTGGCTTGTCATCTTATCTATATATGTTTATATCAACAATTTCTCACATCCATCATGGAAGAATTATCTCCATATATATATTGCTATAGTGTTAATGTCAAACCCTCCTGCAGTATTTTGTGGCTGGTTCAAACAACAACGCAATGAACCATGTTGAACATGTACACATCCACTCATGGTTAAACCACTGGCTATGTTTACATGGGCATAAGTAATTGGAATAGTCAGATGACTAAAAATATTTTATGTAAATATGCAAGTCAAAATATTCTGATGACATTCGTCAAGATTGGAATGAAATTGTAATCCTACTGAGAAAGGGCTTTATGCTTATTGGCAAGTTGGTCAGGATGCATGTAAATGCTTTATTAGGATCAAGAATGAGCCAAACTCACCTGAGTGCCCATGTGCAACCTGCATCAATAGCACATATTTCACTTAATAGCTAAATGCTAGTCAGAATATCGCGATTAAAGTGTTTACATAACACCTTTTTAGTCCTGTCGGCCATTTAAATTTGATAACTTATGTCTGTGTTAATGGTACAATCTCATTATTTTAGTCCAGTTTTGTCCATGCATAGAGAGCTGCTGTGTAATAGTGGTATTCTATTTATCCTTGGTGGCTCACCTTACGTCAATGTAGCTTGAGTGCGGAGGTTGTTAAGTTGCAAAGCTTAACTTGTCAGGTGTCGAACTCAAGATACCAACCTTGACGACTAAAGTTAGGTTACTACTTGATGCATTGAACAAGGAAGGAGAGTGCTTGCGCCAACAGTGACATCATCCCTACAAAGGGTTGTGGCAACTGGTGATGCACCTATGACTTTTTTTTTGGCTTTGGAAGGACTGTTGACATCATCCTCCATTGAGGAAGAGCAGTATTAAAGCTATTCACAAATCAAAAAATCAGGTGTTCCCATAATAGAATGAAGAAAGCAACTGAAAAGAAAAGCAACAAAAACATTGGAAATCAAAGTTACAAAGTTAGATTTTATGCAAGAGCATATAATGTAATATTATTGCCTAAATA